AGCGTAGATCTCAGCCTCACAACTGGAGCCGAGAACAGAAGACGAGCGGGTAGCCCGCCACGAGACAGAGCCGGAACCAAGGCTGAAGGTGTAACCCTGTGACGACCGCTGCGTAGCCTGGTCGTCAGCCCAAGAAGCGTCTGCGTGCCCAGTGAGGACCACTGGACTGCGCCCTCCAAGCACTAGCCCCATGCCCGACGTACTGCACAAGTAGCGCAACACCCTCTTCGCTGCAGCCATGTGCTCTGGTCGGTGTCTCCCAGGAGCAACAAAGCGTGCGAGAATGCTAAGAGGGTATGCGAGGTCAGGTCGTGTGCAGGTCATCAGGTACATGAGGCAGCCAACAAGCTCTGCAAACGGGCCACTCGACTCTACGGACTCATCCGAAGGCAGAGCTGAGAGCGAGTGGCGAGTAGGCAGAGGAGTGGCCTGAGGCGAGGAGTACGTGAAGCCGAAGCGCTGAAGGACCTGCTGCACCATGTGTGACTGAGTCAGGGTAATGGTGCGGCGTGCTCTGTCCCGGGTGATCTGCAAGCCAAGGTAGCTGCGCAGTTCACCCAGGTCAGTGCACGTGTGTCTCTTCTGCAGCTCGGACTTCACGTAGGCGAGTCCAGCAGTGTCAGCTGTGGCAAAGACCAAGTCGTCGACGTACACGAGGATGTAGAACGGCGGCAGAGAGGTGTCGGTGCGCAGAAACAGCGACGGGTCGGCAGTGGAAGGAGCAAACCCAAGTGCCGCGAGCGTAGTCCTCAGGGTGTCGTGCCACTCACGTGGCGCCTGGCGGAGACCGTAGACTGGACGCCGGAGACTCCACTGGGTACCAGGAGGGAAAGACCCAGTGAAGCCAGGTGGGCGACGCAGCCAGATCTCCTCGTGCAGGCTGCCCTGCAAGAAAGCTGTGCTGAAGTCGAGAGAGTGCAGCTCGTAGTCACGGTGAGCAGCAACGTGCAGCAGAACCCGAAGAGTGGTCATCTTCGGGGTGGGGGAGAAGGTCTGAAAGTAGTCAGCCCCCTGCCGCTGACTGAAGCCACGAGCCACGTAACGCGCCTTGAAGACAGGCGGAGAACCCGGCGGCCGCTTCACCCTGAAAATCCACATGCCACTGACGATGTTCGCCCCAGGAGGGGGAACAGCGTCAACGTAGGTGCCTGTGGACTTCCAGGAAGCCATCTCTGCATCCATAGCTGCCTGCCACTGAGAGGAGTAGGGACCCTCTATCGCCTCCGCGTAAGAGCGCGGAGTCGGGATGTCTGGTGCATCCGGGTCTCCCTCAGGGGCTAGCAGTACAGACGCGAGACGAGGTGAAGCGGCGGCCAGACACTGGAACTCCTCCTGCCTGTCCTCAAGGACGTCCGTGCCAAGGGCACACTCACCCCCGACGGACGGAGGACAGGCGGACTCAGACCCAGTGACAAGACGAGCAGCGTAGTCTAGACGACAGCGCGCAGCAAAGTCGACAAGCTCAGTGACAAGGGCAGACGCAGCAGACGACTCGAAGGAGGGGTCAGTGACAGCAGTAGCCAGGAGACGCGTGACAGTAGGACTGGCAGCACGAAGAGAGTCCAACTCCGGGTCGGCAAGAGCAGGAAGAGAGGAAGCAGGAGGAGAAGGCAAAGGGGCACGCAGAGGAGCAGTGGACGGACGCAGTGACATCCGGTGCGTGCCAGGGACAGGAGGAGGACGCTGACGCGACCCGCGACCACACCTCTCCCCTGCACGGTCACCTGTGCGAAGAACGTAGGGGCAGGGACCAAGCGCACCACCACGCTGACGCTGCAAGTACCACTCACGGAGCTGCTGAGGGCCGGGGACGGTGCGAGAGCGCTGCTGCTGCTGTGGCTGCTGCTGCGGCTGCTGCTGCTGCTGCTGCTGCTGCTGCTGGCGCTGACCACCCCCAGAGCTGCTCCGCTGGGACGAGCCACTCCGACCCCCGCCTCCACCGCCACCCCCGCCTCCACCGCCACCCCCGTCTCCACCGCCACCTCCCCCACCAGGACCGTCGCTCCCACCGCTCCCACCGCCTCCTCCGCTACCACCTCCGCCGCCACCTCCGCCTCCACCGCCGCCACCAGTACCTCCACTCCCGCCACCACCCCCACCGCCACCCCCACTCCCCCCGCCACCCCCGCCGCCTCCTCCACCGCTCCCTCTAGCTCCACCCGCTCCCTTGCCCCCTTTGCCCTTGCCAGAGCGGCGTCTGCCGCTGGGGGCAGACGCCGCGCCGACCGACTCAAAACCAGTGAGGTCGGCCGCAGCGGCAGAGGCGACAGAGGGCAGCAGGGGGGAAGGACCACACCCCTCAAAGATGGGGGTGCGAGGGTCACCCCGAGAGGCCCCTACAGCGACAATACTCTTCTCAGCCGCTAGCAGGGACTCCTCAAGGAGATCGACAGTGAGAGTGGTGGGACAGACAGAGAGAAACTGGTCCCTAACGGCACGAAGGGACTCAGGGAGACGGGTGACGAGAAAGTAGAGAGTGATGTACATGGGAGGAGGGTTCGCAGCGCGGAACTCAGCAGGAAGGGCAGCGCGGTAGCGGGTGTCACTAGCACGGAGGTGGGTAACGAGGTCAGCAACAGTGGGAAAGGAGGCGAGGTCAGGGAAGAGAAACGGTAGCATGAGGCGGCTAAGGGTAGCGGAGGACGGGGAGGAGTAGCGTGCAACTACAGCGTCGTACAAGGCCTGAGCGGTCTTGCACTGACTAAAGTGGGCACGCTCAGAGGAAGGGAGGTGGCGACGCACAGCAAGACGTGCAGCAGCATCGCGGGTCGCCCACTTGGAGCGAACGGCAGAGTCAGCATCAGCAGGTGGGGCAGGGACAGCGCCAGAGACAAAGTCAAAGAGAGAAACCTCATCTATCGCATCACATAGTAAGTACAGCTGCAGGTCTTCAATCCAGACAGCAAAGTCAATGGCCCTCCCCTCAGCGTCAAAAGTAAGGACATTGGGGGTGGCCATGGCAGCAGCTGAAAGTCTCACCGGGCTGGGAGAGTCGGGTAGTGCAGCGGCAGAGGAACACAGCTCAGGAACAGCGGCACGGCTCGGGCGGCTCGGGTTGCTGGGGCGGCGCGGGCGGCTCGGGCGGCTCGGGCGGCTCGGGCGGCTCGGGCGGCTCGGGCGGCTCGGGCGGCTGGGGCGGCTCGGGCGGCTCGCGCGGCTCGGGCGGCTCGGGCGGCTCGGGCGGCTCGGGTTGCTGGGGCGGCGCGGGCGGCTCGGGCGGCTCGGGCTGCTGGGCTGTACGGGCGGCTCGGGCGGCGCTGGTGTCGCGACGGGCGGCTCACTGGCGGCTCGCGGGCGGCTGCACAGGCGGCTCAGGGACGGCGGCGCGGGCGGCTCAGGGAGCTCACGGGCGGCTCGCGGGCGTCGGGCGCTAGGGCGTTGGGGCGACGGCGGGCGGCGCTCAGGCGTTCGGGCGGGCGGCCGTAAGGGTGAAAGGGCGGGCGGCGCTCGGGCGCTAGGGCGGGCGGCCGGCCGTCAGGGCGCTCGGGCGAATGGCGCACGGGCGCTAGGGCGGGCGGCCGTCAGGGCGCTAGGGCGAGCGGCGCTCGGGCGCTAGGGCGGGCGGCCGTCAGGGCTCTAGGGCGGGCGGCGCTCGGGCGCTAGGGCGGGCGGCGCTCGGGCGCTAGGGCGGGCGGCGCTCGGGCGCTGGGGCGGGCGGCCGTCAGGGCGCTAGGGCGGGCGGCCGTCAGGGCGCTAGGGCGGTTGGCGCTCGGGCGCTAGGGCGGACGGCCGTCAGGGCGCTAGGGCGGGCGGCCGTCAGGGGAGGGAGCAGCGGGAGCGCGACGGTAGGGGCGACACGCAGGGTCGCTAAAAAAAAGAACGCGCGCCTCGGGGCGCGCTTCGGTGGGCCCTAGGAACAGTCCCTAGGAGGGGACCTGCTCTGATTCCATGAGGAGAATTGAACGAGAATGAAGATGAGTATGAACGAAGTGAGTACAAATAGGAAACCCTAATTGTGTTGTACCCCCTATGGGATACCCCACTATAGCCTACACAAACAAGTAAGCTATATGTTCTGACACTTATTACCTTTTGGGGTTATATCTAATTTGGGTGATTACTTGGACATGACTTTAAAAGGATCTTTGGTTGGGTGGTTAGGAAGGCAACTTTGACTTTTGGATTTGTGTGGCTAGAAGTTTCTAGCATGGGTTTCAAATGTTGCAACACCTAGGCAAAATCCAACTAGATTGGATTTTGCATGTGACACCGCTAGGACCTCATGATGAGGGTTGCATCATTGCTGCTAGGAAGGTTCCTACCATTCTTCCCTAGCTCTTGGAGAACCCCTTCCCTCTCATGGTTCTCTTGGAGTTCCCAACTCCAACTTTCTATGCTCTAATGCTTGTACATCTTCCACCATTCTAGTCATGCGGCTGCCGACGTTTTTACTTGGTTTTCACTCTAAAGACCATCTTAACGACTGATCCAACTTGGAGATGGCAGGTAAGCCTAAGGCACACAATCCTATCGACCAGATTTGCGTTTAGTTGAGTGACGAATTCGTCGTAAGTTCTCAAATTGACGGATCCTGAACAACAAGTGGTATCAGAGTGGGTAGTCAACTTTGAGAAAACGAATCGCTGTGAATTCTCAACCAATTTTGACAATGAGACCATTTTCTAGTAGCTCTGCTCGCGGACTTTTTATTAGTGGTGCAAACGACAATTCAAAGTATATTATCCGCAACAACGATTTTTGTAGAATAGAAATTTCTGGCAGAATTCTCTCCAAACGATTTCTCAAGTTTCCACCGTTCATAAGGCCTCAATGTGACTGGATTGGACTCAAGAGCTGCTAATGGCAAGATGGCTGGAGCTAGAGAGGCTGGAGAGCAGGGGGGATTTGCTGGTGGTGGAGTGGGGACTCACCAACCAGCCAACCCTATGCTACTTACTTCTTCTACACCATCTCCTACTACCGTGGATCCTGTGAAAGCTTTCTCGATTGAGAAATTCATGGGGGAGGACTACGAGCACTGGAGTTTCTGCATGAGGCTGATGTACACCCAATACAAGCTATTGGATCTGGTGGAGGGGAAGGAGAAGATGCCGGAGGTCGCGGAGCAGAAAGGAGCGTGGATGAAGCGATCGTTCTACGCATACATGCTCATGGTGCAAGCGGTTGGCGGGCGACAACTTGACCATATCAAGGACCTTTTGGGTGATCCAAAGTGTGGCCCCAGGGCTTGGAGGAAGCTTCTAGATGTGCACTCACCGACACATGCTACCGGCATCGTGCTACTCACGCGGCGGCTGCGCGACATCAAGTTCGTTGATGGAGAGCCGATGCAACCGGTGTTAAATGAGATGCGCGACATCTTCACGAAGCTCCAAGGCGGCGGTGTGGTGTATCTGGAGCACATGCAATGCGTGGAGATTGTGATACGGCTGCCGAAGACGTGGTCTGCCCTAGCGATCAACCTCAACTCTCAGCAGCCCCAGTGGAGCGTAAATTACATTCGCGCGCGCATCCTAGAGGAGGACTTGCAGCGGCGGAGTGTGGAGCGCTTGGAGGAGGGGGCTGGTTATGGAGTTGAAGGTGGAAAGAGCGGCTTCAAGATGAAGTGGAGGTGTGCTTCTACTGCAAGTAGCGCGGACATCATTGGCGGAATTGCTACCAACGACCCAAGGATTGGACCCCGCCTTCATCAAGCAACCAGCGTGGTGGCACGTGGAGTGGGGGAATCATGGGAGCTAGTGGAGGGGAGAAGGAGAAGGAGAAAGGCAGCAAATCTGAGGAGCGGAAGGTCGGGTTCTTCTTCTTCGTGAACGATGGTTCAACCGACCTTGCTATGGCTGCCAAGGTTCTCCTACATCCCCTCACCCATTGGGTGATTGACTCGGGAAGCTCCTGGCATATGACTCCTCGTGCGGATATACTTGATGAGATTCAGCCCGCACCTATCTCTACGGTCACATCCGCGACGGGCGCCAAGGCCAAGGTCATGGGCATGGGGTGCGCCAAGTTCTTGGGAGCGGATGGAGAGCTCGTGGGGCTGAAGAACGTGCTGTGGGTGCTAGACTTGTGCGCGAACCTGATTTCTAATGGCCGGTTGGGAGATGCGGGTGTGAAAACCGAGACGATTGGCTCGGAGCGCTATCGTGCCTACAACGATGAGCAGCTGATTTGGGACCTACCGCGAAAAGGGGATGTCCACAAGCGGATGTGGCAGATCCCGGTCCTCCCTTGGTGGAAATCGAGCAAGGCATCAGTGGCGGCATCTATGGAGGAGAGTGTCACCGAGGAGGAGCAGCAAGGTGTGCAAGGAGAGGAGCTAATTGGAGGAAGCGCGGCGGTGAAGGCGTCGGCTACCTCGGGCCAAGCGGATTGGGAGACTTGGCATCGGCGGCTCGCACACGTGGATGTATCTACATTGGAGGTGATGCACCAAGAGAAGTGCGTGCATGTGCTGCAACTGCAAGAAGATGGTACTCACTATGGCAGCTGCGAGGCGTGCATGTAAAACAAGTTTGCGCGGTTCCCGTTTCCATGTGCGAGGGATCGGCAAAGGCGCCATTGGAGGTGGTGCACATGGACCTGGTGGGTCCTATGAGGACGGAGGGGATTGGAGGAGTGCTGTACTTCCTCACCATGGTGGACAAATGGAGCCGGTTCTCATGGGCACGTCCCTTGTCCAAGAAGAGTGATGCTGCAGCGGCGATCAAGGAGGATTGGTTGCCGATGGTGGAGCAGCAAGCGATGCGGTTGGTGAAGGTGCTGAGGAGCGACCGTGGTGGAGAGTTCCTTGGAGCGGAATCCACGAAGTTTCTCAAGAGGAACTGCATTCGACACCAGCTGACCTGTCCAAGAACTCCGCAACAGAACGGCATTGCTGAGCATGCCAACCGGACCATTGGTGAGGCAGCTAAGACCTTGTTGGGGGCTGCTTGGATGCCCTACAAGTTCTGGCCTGAAGCTGTTCGCCATGTCATCACGGTCAAGAACAGGGTCTTGACGCATGTTGGTGACAAGCACTGAGTGCCGTATGAGCGCTGGCTTGGGAAGAAGCCATCCATTGACATGTTGCGGGTGTGGGGTTGCATGGGGCTTGTGATGGTGCCTAAGGAGCAGAGGCACAAGCTGGAAGTTGCTGCAGTGTGGGCTGTCCATCTTGGGATGGCTCCTGACTCGAAGGGGTGGCTGATCTGGGACCGCAAGAGCAAGAGGACACTGGTCAGCCGTGACGTCAACTTTGTGGAGGACGTCATGTACAAGGAATGGCAGCAGCAGCAGCAGGTGCAGATTGGCTTGCGTCTGCAGGAAATTGAGCGATCTACAGTGGAGGAGGTTCAGCTACACCTTGAGGATCTCCCTGGGTCAGAGCTGACCAGTGACCACAGTGGTGGTGGTGAGCAGCAAGATGCTGGTCGTGCTGCGGAGGAGGGGTTGGAGGATGAGTCGGCACGTGTGGACTCACCATCTCAGCCCGAGCCTGCTGCAAACGCCAAGGTCACCAAGAGGAGTGTGCAGAGAGGAGCTTTACCACATGGGCAACAGACCGCAACACGCGAGAAGAGAGTGGCAGCAACACCTTCAAGGCTGAAGTATAGCCGTTTGGGAGGACCCAAGCAAGGTGCCATGGCGGTTCAGGCGGATGAGGGAGATGATGAGGAGATGGCGTTCTGTTTCTTCACACCTCTGCCTGGAGAACCAGCCACAGTGGAGGAGGCACTGAGTGGACCCCAGAAGGAGGAGTGGAAGGCTGCCATGGATGCAGAGTTCAACAGTCTCATTGAGAATGGGACTTGGGAGCTTGTTGAGTTACACGAAGGGCGACGACCGATCAACAGCAAGTGGGTCTTCAAGGTGAGGAGTGGAGCTGATGGTGTGTTGGAGCAGTTCAAGAGCCGCTTGGTCGCCAAGGGGTTTCAGCAGAAAGAGAAGGTCGACTTTGGGGAGATCTTTACTCCCATTGCTAAGCCAGTGACACTAAGGACTTTGCTGGCTAGCGCAGCTATGAAGGGATGGCACGTGAAGCAGATGGTGCACTACCTCAGATGAACGGCATTTGCTGGTGTTTAGTTTTCAGCTGGCAGCCCGCTGAAACAGATTGGAGCAGATGGGGTCACACCTGGAACCTTGAAGCTGTCGTGTTTCACCGACGCTACATGGGCCTCAGAGGAGGAGGATCAGTCATCAGTTGGCGGCATTTTGTGCATGGTCGGAGGTGGACCAGCGAGCTGGAGGTCCAAGAAGCAGAGTGAGATTGCTCAGTCTTCCGGAGAGGCAGAGTTCAGGGCAATGGACCATGCCATCAAGGAGATCGTGCTCTTGAGGAAGCTGCTGGAGGACATGGGAGCTGAACAGCAGGGACCTACACCACTTTTCTCCGACAGTGAGGTTTCTACTGGCGTGGCCAATAATCCTATCCCGAATGGGCTGAACAAGCACATGAAGTTTAAGTGGCACTAGGTGAGGCAGATGGTGAAGGAGGGGATTGTTGAGCTAGCAAGGACATGGCAGATTTTCTCACCAAGAGACTTCTCGAGAGCGCACATTAGACGTGCGCTAAGATGTGTGGCATGGTATTGAACTAGTGTGGGCAGCAGTGTCATGAGTACATGTGTGATTGTGAGCATGAGAGTTTGCATTTGTGTGGGTGTGTGTGCATGCAGTCCGTTAGTCTGAGGGGGAGTTTGTTGGATGCACATCATTCTGAGTGGATGCCATCCTAACGTCCTGCGGAGTGCTCGTGCTATTCATGTGTGCATTGTTTGGACGAGCATATGTCATTGTGCATGGCTGTTGGATATCATCATCTCTGTGTTTTTCTCCAAGTTTAAATGCTTTATCATGCACGAGAAATCCAGAGCTTTCGAACGATACCAAGATCGCCTTATTCCGACCAAGATCGCCCAAGTTACAAGATTTCCAAGACTTGGATTTCTTATTTCCTTAAGGGTTATATCTAATTTGGGTGATTACTTGGACATGAGTATCAAGGGATCTTTGGTTGGGTGGTTAGGAAGGCAACTTTGACTTTTGGATTGGGGTGGCTAGAAGTTTCTAGCATGGGTTGCAAATGTTGCAACACTTAGGCAAAATCCAACTAGATTGGATTTTGCATGTGACACCTCAAGGACCTCGTGATGAGGGTTACATCCTTGCTGCTAGGAAGGTTCCTACCATCCTTCCCTAGCTCTTGGAGAACCCCTTCCCTCTCATGGTTCTCTTGGAGTCCCCAACTCCAACTTTCTATGCTCTAATGCTTGTACTTCCTCCACCATTCTAGCCATGCGACTATTGGACGTTTTTACCTGGTTTTCACTCTAAAGACCATCTTAAGGACTGATTCAACTTGGAGATGGTACGTAAGCTTAAGGCGCACAACCCTAATGAGCGGATTTGCGTTTAGTTGAGTAATGAATTCGTCGTAAGTTCTCAAATCGACGCATCCTGAACAACACATCAAGCCTTAATTGGAGATTGTTAGGCTGAAGGGTTTCGCCAGTGGCAACGTGCCGATACTGGACGTGGACGACGTTGAACTACGCGTGGAGTTTCATGCTGCTCACCAGCTGACCTTCATGGTCATCCCGAGGTGCTGCTCATCAGTGTTGCAGATAGCGCTGAAGTCGTATCGGCTTTGACTGGATGCTGGACACTAGCCGCGGCATTTCATTCAGTTGACGTATTTGGTAACAGACGATCTGTACATCGGTCACCTGGAGGAGCAACTGACCCACCTCCGGATGGGCGAGGAGGAATCAGCAACAGACTACTGCAACCGTGCTTGACAGATCCTTGCTATATTGCGGATGACGAGCGTCGACTACTCAACGGCGTCTGACATCACGCATGTTGTCAAGAGGACACCTCATGCGCCGGATGTTGGCGATGCCCGGCATGTGGGAGTCGCTCGACAAGGACACCCTCACCAGCCACATCATCAAGGATGAGGCGATGCAGGAGGCAGAGCGACCCATGAAGCTCCTTTTGCAAGCAAACGACCCAGTCCCAATGATGCAGAGCAGCCGACAGGGGCAGCAAGGGAAGCCAAGTGGAGGTGGTAGCAAAGGTGGAAGGTCGACGAAGGATGTCGACTAGACCAAGTCTACACGGGACAGAGGTCGCAGGGGTGGTGGTCAATGGCGTGAATGCTCGGTCTGCGGCAACCCCGACCACCTCTCCTTCGAATGTCCTAACCGCGTTGACAACGATGAGGACGACCACAAAGGAGGCCGCGGACGGTCGGCTAGTCGTCGCCCACATCGAGATGAGAAGCCGCACAAGGAGCTGCAGGCGTCGAAGAAGACGACATCGACGAAGGACGTCGACTCCTTCAGCGGCAAGGGCTGAGACAACGGGGAGGCGTTGTGCTTGATGGTCGGCGTGGTGGAGTCGATAGTCTCGCTGGCGCCGGAGGCTAACGATGACTTCAAGGCAGTCATGATGCCATGCAAGCCAGCCTGATGGTAGTGCTGCTCGACAGTGGTTGCTCACATCATCTGATGGGGATGAAAGAGGTCTTTGTCGACATGTTGCCATGCGACGACGTGAAGCATGTGCGTGGCTTCAACGGGGCTTTGCAGACCGTTGAGGGCCGCGGTACTGTCGCTCTGCAAGGGGAGGCCGGGAAGAAGGCCCTCATCCCCGATGTGCTCTATGTTCCACGCATGCAGGCAAACCTATTGTCCACCAGCCAATTGCGAGAGAGCGGTGTGAAGCTGCAGGATGACGGCGACGAGATGCTGCTCGTGTCAAGTGCAAGCGAAGTGCTCGGTCGAGCATGCTACACCGGCCGCGTCCTCTACACCAATCTTTGCCC